GGGGTGCCAAAGTGGCCATACACTGCTCTAATTTTGGCCAAGTCAGCTGGACTCAGCTGAAAATGTAAGCAGTGTATGGCCAGCTTTAGTCAGGAGACAAGTGTTTTTGTGCGTTTTGCGTGCGTTTTATGCACATAAATCAAGTAGCGCATTTTTGTGAGCAGATTGTAGTTCATTGTTGTTAATAAGCAAAAGAGTTTAAAAACGCGCAAACACAGAAAAGGCTAGTTTTTAATCGTTTCCTATTGAGTCAATGAGACTGTAATTTCCCACAAGAAAAAGCTCATGTACTTTTTCCAGCGACAGGCGTTCTGCTTATTGCGACAAAATGCTCAGATGCAAACAGGGCCATATAAATTAATGGGGGGGGGGGGCATATTTTTTGAGCGTTTTTTAGGGCAGAAAAAGCGCTACAAAACGCTCAGTGTGAACCAGGCCTTAGGGGCCTGCAATCTAAAATAAAATCCTGCATCCTCCCATCTTGTGTGACTCATTAATTGCAAAATAGAATTCTAGTCCTCGGAAGCAGGTTTTGACTTCTTAGAGCTGTGGCCTGTCCGGGGGTGGCCGGTATTTACCACCGCTGATGCGTACTTTCACCTAAAGGAGGTGGGTTATAGGTTTTTGTTTGAACACTGGTAAAAAATAACCAAGGAGAGCAGAGCAGGAAGGCTCATATGGTGTAGTATTGTGAAACAATGCTTAATATGAAGTAGCAATTTGTGAAATCTCCGATCGGCAAGTAAAAGCAAGCAACAGTTCAGAGAAGGAAGAGCGATCAGCTTGATGTGTCACCACAGGCATCGGGCATACTGGTTATCTTGGCAGCACGCTGGTATGAGCTGTTCGATCCCTGGTGCTGGCTCCCCACTGAGGGGACACTGTCTCTGGCTTGCTCCACCCGCAATCATGTCACTACATCCGTGAGTGGATATTTACAAATTGCTCCTTTTCATTAAAGAAAGACTCTAGGATTTAAAACAAATTAACCCTTGCAGTGGGGCTACCCCTGCACTGCAAGGGTTAACTGTTCGTCTTTCTTTTAGGGATGAAAATGAAGAAGAAATATTCACTCCAATCGTCGGTCTTACGACAGTGACCGCTCACCTCTCCCCCATCCGCTCCGGCTGTGGTATATCCCTCTGCGTCTTCTCATCTAATAGACTTGTATTAGGCATAATTACGTAGTGGGTCCTTACACTGCCGGAGCCTGGGAAAAAGAGGCTGCACGGACCAGTCTAGCAACTAGGCGGGACTGAAGATCGAGTGAGTATTTCTTCTTTATTTTCGCCCCCTAGACAAAACGAGCACTTAACCCATGCACTGTGGGGGTAGCCGCACTGCAAGGGAGAATGTTAAAATCCCACAGCTCACGCGGCCCCAACGTTAACGAACATCTCTCTAGCATACTATTGGACACGAGTCAGAGATTCCATACCATATGGCACCCATGGTCCTCCATTTTCCTATCCACCCTCGATCCGCTAACCGCCCATCGCGCCACGGCTGCATGAATAAACGTCAGTCAAAGTACCGCAGCGCTGAATACTGAAAAATGGCCTGGCCAGGAAGGGGGTCTAAACACCTGGTCTTGAAGTGGTTAAATGCCGCCTAATGTACAGGCGACACGTTGCTCCCTTACACAGCTGTTACTATGCGATATTTGTATGTCTTGCATTTCCAAGAAACCTAATAAAACACATTGAAGAGAAAAAGTGTGAATTAATATTTAAGGAGCCACATTTTTACTAAGGGCCACGCTATCTTAATTTGTGGGAAAAAATAAATATGCTTCATATTAAAGTAACAATTGCAACTTGCTAGTTTTGTCCAGGAGATTGGGGCCTAAAAACTTTCTGACTTATGGGTTGGACTCGATGAACAAGTGTTGT